TAGGAAAACCAACACTGACTAACCCCCACTCCAGGCAGACAGTTCACACTCATGCAGACATCCTCCATTTAACTCTCAGATGGGTCCCCAAGTTAAAGATGTGGAAACTGAGGCAGAAGAATTGAGACCCTGGGATCACTCAGCTGTTGTGTAAGACTGGAATATACTGACCTGAGAACATGTCCATGATAAGGATTTTGAAAGCAAAGAACAGGACATTATGAGTGAGAATAAGGAGGAAGTCCGTCTTTAGACAGACGGATAAGGGAAGGTTGCCTTGAGGAGTCCTGCGCGCTGAGACATAAAGAAATCAGCAAAGCGCCAGATGAGGTGGCTCATGCCTGTAATCCCAGCACTGTGGGAGGCTGAGGCGGAAGGATCACCTGAGGTCAGGAGCTCGAGACCAGCCTGGCCAACATGGCAAAACTCCATCTCCACTAAAAATACAAAAATTAGCCAGGCATGGTGGCATGCGCCTGTAGTCTCAGCTACTTGGGAGTCTGAGGCATGAGAATCACTCGAACCGGGGAGATGGAGGCTGCAGTGACCTGAGATAATGCCATAGCACTCCAGCCTGGGCAAGAGAGCGACACTCTGTCTCAAAAAAAAAAAAAAAAAAAAGAGAGAGAATGAGAGAACGAAAGAACAAAAGAGAAATCAGCAAAGTGAAGAACTGAGAAAACAAATTCTGATGAGAAGGAACAAGGAACAATATGTGCAAAGGACCTACGCCAAGAAAAAACCTGACACACCTGAGGAACTAACACACACCAGGTATGAAAGAGGAGAAGAAAAGGGGCCTACAGAAGACACTGGATCATGCAGGATCTAATAGGCCATGGCAAGGATTTCAGATTTCATCCTATGTGCCAGGGGAGGTCATCAGCAGGATTCAGTCCCAAAATGACATGGACTGATTTACCGGGACCAAGTATAGCACAGAGCTCGTCACACAAAGGGGATGGGCAAAAAGCTGTGGAACATCTGAATAAACAGACTCAAACTTGATTTCCAAGACGAGGAGAACTGCTGGCTTTACAGAAAGAAAAGCAAGATTTCAGCCTTTGCCCGTGAGAAGAACAAACAGTTTCACCTAATCCAAATTCACTTTCATGCCTCTCTGCCTAAGCGGCACACAGAGCCGCAGAAATCCGCAGGCGCATCATGACAGAATAATTTCAGTGATCATTATCAAATGCCTCTATTTAGAAAAGCTCAGAAGATTGTATTAGCATGATCCAATATTTATGAAATGACACTCTGCTGTAATGAGGGGCTGAGAAAATTAAGATTAGAAGCAAAAGCCAAGTCTTTGGGGACAGAGAGTAGCATGAGCAAAAATACATACTTTTACTCAGCTTCTTAAAACTTGCTTTTCTGATCTGTAAAATGGGAAGGATAGTAACAAAGAGGAAAATATGTGATCAGTTAGTAGAGCACCTAAAGGCCTTTAATAATGTTTTTTTCATTCATTCCTTTGTTAATAAAAACACCTAATAAAGACTATTGGCCCATCCACACATCCATCCAACAAACTGCTGATTTAGTACATAGGATGTCTGATGTCCTGCATCAGACACTGAAGATAAAGTTGTGAACAAGATTCTCATGGTCCCCATTCACATGGAACTTCTCATCTGGGAGTAAAACATGCATTGGATGAACAACCCCTGCTGTGATGCGTGGTACTAAGGAAGAGTGCAAGGTGCACTAGGAACCATTACAAAGAGAGCTGACCCAGACTGAGACATGAGGAGGACGCACAAGACAGTGCGTGGGGGAAAGGCTCCACGGAGGACGCCGATCTTATGGGAGTTCCCGAGGCAGGAGAGAGTCAGAACATTCTGGCAATTGGCAGAAGCCAGTGTAAAGTGAGCACAGTGGGATGTGGAGCATCATCATGATTTGGAGGTTTAAGGAGGATCAGCCCTCAGAGCCTTGGAGTCCACAACAGGGCTTTCATCTTTCCTGGAGCAATGAGAAGCCTCAGAAAGGCCTAAAACAGAAGCTGCGTAGAGACAAGAAAGAAAAGAAGTAACCTGAATATGCTTATATTCTAGAATAATCTCTCGGACATCTGTTTGGAGAATGGATTAAAGTCAAAAGAGTTAAGTCAAGGAGCCTGTTAGAAAGTTTTCCACTGACCCAGGAAACAGACAATGGCTGTGTTCACCAGGGCAGTGGTGGCACAGATGGAGAGGCTTGGGCAGACCCAAGATATACTTAGGCAGTAAAATGGCAGAGTGAAGTGATTGGCTGGAAACGCAGGTAAGAGAGAGAACAAAGAGAAACATGGCCCCCGGGTTTCTGAATCAGTACCAGTAGGGTGAAGTGAGCTTTCTGGAGTCAAGGAACAGTGGAAAGTGAGTAGACAGGGAAGGGGAAATGGGTAAATCAAGAGTTCGGTTTTGGAGATGTTGAGCTTGGAGAGCCTACAACATGTTACAGGGCTTTAAGTGGACTAAAGATGAGGAGAAAGAGCATATATGAACACACACACACCCCCATACACACACATATGCACACACACACATACACACTTCCCATACATCCCCACACACACACGTATACCTCCATACACACAGACCCCCATACACATATATACACACACACACCCATATGCTCCCATACACATGCATACACACCCTCCATACACACACATACACCCCCATACACACACACCCATACACTCCCATACACACACACCCATACATTCCCATACCCACACCTCCATACACTCCCATACACACCCATACACTCCCATAAACACACACCCATACACATGCACACATACCCACACACACACCCTTTACACCCCCATATGCACACACACACACCCCACATACACACTCATAGACATGCATACACACATATACCAATACACACACCCCCCCAATACACAGGCATGCACACACAACACACCCATACACCCCCATACACACACACACCGATATACGCCCATACACTCACACACACACCCTCCATAAACGCACATCCATACACATACACCCTTACACTCCCATATGCAGACAATATACACCCCCATACACACACACACACCCCCATAGACATGCATACACACATACACCAATACACCCCCATACACATACACACACATACCTACACCAGTACACAGGCATGCACACACACCACACCTATACACCCCCATACACACACACGCATACACACATGTATACACACACGTATACACACTATAACATCCAGGTTTATTTGGCCACTATCAAAGAGGGCCATGAAGAGCAGAGCAGATGTTACATGTTTAAGCAGAGGTGTCTTGGATTCTTGGGATCCCTCATGGGATGGGTGATTCTATCATCTAAACCAGGCAGTACTTTTGATAAAGTCAGCATGATTGGGCAAAAGAGGTTGTTCCACACTGTCTTACTAATAGGCACGCACACACACACACCTGTTGATGACTTTGCTCATTCAAAATAAGGTCCCACCAGATCTAAAATGCTCAATTTTGTACCACAGCCCAACCTTATTATACCTAAGGCTTGTAACAACACTTGGGAGAAATCTATACAATTAATGCCCTTAATAGGAGCTATCCATAACCATCCAGTGCCTCCTGCTTTGCAGCCAGACTCAAAGTGAATGAGGCCACACCCTCACCCTCACCTGGGCATCTCTAAGCATCTTCTTTGCTCCCAGTTGAGTGGCATCCTGGAAAACCCCATTCGCCAGAGGTAGCCAAGATGATATGGCAGCTGGCAGTGGGCTGTGTAGGTGTAAAATTCCTAGGAGACATCTAGGCTGGAGGCATAAATGTCAGAATCACCAGCACAGAGGTGGTATCTGAGGCCATGGGAGTGGTTGAGGCCAGCCATGGAAAGAACACCAAGTAAGCCTGAAAGAACTCTTAATACTCCATGGCCAGAGTGCACTGGCAGGGGAGACTGAGAAGGAGCACCTGGGGGACTGGTGGAAACCAAGACAGGTGTGGGTTAAAGCGAGGGAGCCTTTGGTCAGGGAGAAACTGTAGAAAATGGCCTCCCTTCTCCAACAAGCAGTTGTCTTTACAACTGTAGCCGGGATATGTGATTATTCAGAGAAGTGAGCTTCATTTTCTCAGAGTCGCAACTCTTCCTGGCTTCTATCACCAGGTAAGCCTCTTCAAGGTGCACCTTACCCAGGCATACCCCACATTTGGAGTCTAAGTGTTCTCTCTGAGTAGACCACCTTCAGGTACTGCCCCTGAAACACATCAGGTGTACCTCACAGGCCTGCCCCATGCAGGTATCCATCAAGAATTCACACTAGGTCTTCAGGCCCACCGGTTAAGGATAAAATGTTGATATTTAGAATGTCAGGATGTTAACCTTATAATATATAATAATAATATAGTAATATATAATATGTTATACAATAATATAGCCTTATAAAAGTCTGTGGAAGTATCTCTAAATATAAATAATATATACTACATAATGTACATAATATAATGTGTGATATATAATATAAACTTATAATCATCTGACTGTAGAAGTCTCCCTAAATATATAAAATATATGTAAATAATATAACACATAATAACAGATAATATAATATATAATAATAATAATAAATACAACCTTATAATAGTTTGACTGTTGAAATTTCCTATATGCAACCTATGTCTATGTGGCCTGGAAGAAAAGGAGTGACCTCAAATTCTTCAGAAGCTCTTTCTTTCCCTGACATGCCACTATCATCAGGCTCCTAAGCAAAACCCAGTGATACCCTAACTTGTAGCTAAAGCTTAGAATCTCAAAGCTAAAAGAAATGCTGAATCCAGGTGACATGTGACTAGTACCAAATCCTGAAGAATTCATTCAGTCTTGGCTTGAACACCTCTGAGTGTGGGGAACTCACTACCTACAGAGCTATCAATTGCCATCTCAGAGCACTCAATGTGTAAGTGAGTTATTCTCTCCATGATTCATGGTAAAATCTAGCCATCCCCATTACAGCCCCAAACATGATGGATCTCATACCTGTGGGCACCGCCTGGTCCAGCATTGGTTTCTCCCATGTGTTAATCTGCTCCCAGGTGAACCCATTGGTCCCTAGAGCCACACTATAACCACAGTTGCTGTAGTGCTCATCAAAGGAACAGCCACCTGCAGACAAAAGAGATAGGGGTAAATACATTCCTGTGTCTGAGGCTTGGTTCATTACCTCTGTCTCGTCGGCTCTTCATTTACAGCTTTGAATTTTAAACTCTGGAGATTTTCTTTATATATACATATATATATGTATATATGGACGAGCAAATTGGATTTTTATATTTGCTTTGGTGCTCTCAGGAAAGGCACTGGCATCTGCAGGCCCCCGTATTTAGAAAAGTTAATAAGGCTAGTTACATTGATTTTAATCTTCCTTCCTGAGAAAGTAAACAGCAGCGTGTTATTCTAAGTAGGAAAAATGAATGCCGGGGCATGCCTCCGTAATTGCTTTGTGCAGCACGGAGAGAGGCTGTGAGGCAGCAGAAGGAGCACTCACTTCCGAGTCTGGCAAAACTAGACAGCCATCACCTTCACAAGGTTGCGTGAGTTCAGGCCAGATGCTTCGTACCTGAGCGTCTCCGTTTCCTCACCTGTGATACAGAGGGAAATGTCCAACCTTACAGAAATACATGAGGATTAAATGGAATAACATGTGAAAAGTAACTGCCACAGAATACTTTCTCAATGCCCACCTGTTTCTCTGTAAAAAGCAGTCTGAAAAATCATTTTTCATGGAGTGAGAATTGAATTGGTAAGAAATTAGACAATCATGCACCTGGAAGATAATAAAGTCAATGTTGATCATGTTTGAAGCTTCTCCCTTTAACTTTAAAGGTCAAGCCATCCACCATTTGACAATAAGTTATATTCATTTGCTGTTGCCAAGGATTCACTGAGCATATGCTCTGGTCTGTAAGTCCCATCAAGGTGACATTGAGAGAGATGTGGGGTGTACAGTGGAGGCTCCAACTAGGAAATGCTGGTTTGTCCAGAGAAATAGGATCCCATTATATTCTGAAGGAGAAAGCAGAAGAAGTGGAGGAGAAGTGAATAGGGCTTTGAAGGATAGGGGCATCTCCAAGGGCAGAGGGCAGGATGAATGGCATTCTGAGTTGAGCCTGCAGGGGACACAAATGCAGGGAGGTAGCACTGGGACTGAGTTCTACAGCAGCTCCTGGCTGGTCTCCCAGATCTGTTTCACACTCCAATCCATCTTTTCTAATGCTCCTTTCTTGACTCCTTAATGTTCAGAGGGTGCATCACATCACCATTTTCCTCCTTTAAACACTCATAGGTTTCCCACCCCACAGAGAACCAATGTGTGTTACAGATTAAATGTCTGAAAGCCCACAAAATTTAGTTCAACCCCCAAAGTGACAGTATTAGGACACATGGCCTTTGGGAGGTGATGAGGACATGAAGGCAGAGTCCATGTGATTGGGACTGGGACTGGGACTAATGCCCTTATAAAGAGACTGCAGAGAGTTATCTCACCCCTTCCACCATGTGAGGACACAAGGAGAAGGTGCCATCAAAGAAGCAGGAGCTGGACCCTCACCAGATGCTGAATCTGCCAGTGTCTCGATCTTATACTTCCTAGTGCCCAGGACTGTGAGAAATCAATTTCTGCTGTTTATAAGCCACTCAGTCACGGTATTTTGTTAAAGCAGCCGAAATGGACTAAGAAAATAACCAAACATGGCTTTATTCAATTCATCCCACACTAGCCTGGCCCATGTCTGTAGGCTCATTAACATCACACTATTGTCTCCATCAGCTGAAAAGAACCAAATTATTTCTCTGCACCCCAGACCTGATATTTCCTCTGGATAAGCAGTGGTGGTGGACATCCTGTTGACGAATTTGAGATATAACACAGTCCAAACACCATGGAAGAAAACCTGTCATAGAAAAACTTTCTCTACTTTTCTTTCCTGTTGGATATGGACACCCAGAAGAACTGGATTTCAGCAACTACTATGGTCCAAATGTGTGTGTTGCCCTGAAATTCATATGTCGAAACCTAATCCCCAATGTAATAGTATCAAGAGGTGGAGCCTTTGGGAGATGCTTCCAAAGGATTGTGAGGGCTCTGTTCTCAGGAATGACATCATGCCCGTATAAAAGATGCCCTAGGCAGATTGTTCACCCCTTCTGCCATGTGAGGACTCATAGAAGGTGACATCTATGAGGAATGGACCTTTACTAGGTACCAAATCTGCTATCACCTTGATCTTGAACTTGCCAGCCCTCAGAACTATGAGCAATAACTTTCTATTGTTTAAATAACCCAGTCTAAGGCATTTTGTTGTAGCAGCCAAAATGGATTAAGACAGCACCCCAGTAAGTATCTCCACTCTGTAGAGGAAAGCCACCCAGAGAGTCACCTGACCAGGAATATTAGCATTCAACTTTTCAGGAGCAAAATATAAACTTTGCTTGCCATATGCCACTGAGATCTTAGGGTTTAATTGTTAGCACCGTAGAGCTTTGTACAATCTGACTAATATATGAAGTGTGTCATACCTCAACACAGTGATCTAAAGAAAGAAAGAAGAAGCATATTCTCCCAAGCACTTGCTCTGTGTCAGGCAATATATTCGACACTGATTATATAGGCTATCTCATTAGTTTTCACGTAACCCTCACAAATCATGTGAGGTACATTTTATCTCAACTTTAAATCTAAGGGAATTGATGCACTGAGGGGATAAATGACCTGCTCAGACAACATGGAAGGAAAGTGTCGGAGCCAATATTAAATCCATGGTAACATAGCTGTAGAGCCCATGCCCATTCTAACAGACCAGAGAGAGAATTATTCCCCCAAACCAAGGGCAAGGTCTTTCACTTATAAGGTAATGAGAGGGACCAGGCAGATAAAGAACCTCCAGGGTGGTTGGGAATCTCCATTCAAATCTATTCCTTCACTTATTCTAGAAACATTCAACAAAGTTTTTTTTTAATGGGCTCAGGACATGGCACAGAATTGATAGATAAGATCCTTACCCTCACAAAGTTTGCAGAATAGACTGAAAGATAAGCATGCAAATATACACTGAAGATGCAATGGAAAATATGCTTTCTTATGTATGTGTTGATGCTAAAAAAAAAGAGTTATTATTTTAGTTGATGGTTTAGTTAACCAAATTATCTTCCTTCTTCTAGATAAGATTTAAGAGGGCTCACAGCTATACCTCTAGGCATCGCAGGTTACAGATCCCAGGCAAGGTCACATTAATAATTGCCTCTAGTCCGTTGGATCCATTGCTCACCCCTCACCTCCTTGCCTCTGCTTAACTGTAGGTAGACTGCTCAGCTGATCCTGAGCTTACTGCTGACAGGTCCTGAGAACTAGGGATGTACCTTCTCTTCACAGCCACTCACTGAACCACCTTGCTTCTCCTCTCTGCTGAGCTCTGTTGGTCACTTCAATCTGCAGCAGGTAAGCAAATGCTTTTCCCTTCTTACAGTCTGTTCTTTGAAACTAGGGTTCCACAGCAGCAGGCCTTGGACCCCAGTGACCCAATTTTTATTTTCAAACCACAGTCCTTTCTTTGCCTCTGCAGAAGAGCTCACTTAGAGTGAATTTAAAAGCAGCTTTGCACTCTATCTTGAGCCACTATTTCTTCAGAATATTCAGGCCCCACTGTCAATTCTATTCCACTCTGCCAGTATTTGTCATCACTTACGGGATGACATATGCATTCAGGATAGAAAATGGGGACCTTAAGGTCACTTATGGGGACCTTAATGTCCCTCCTACAGAAGAGTTTCTAGAAACAGGCTCCGGTTCCACACTTTTATCACTCATACACGTCTGAATCCCAGCAATACACACAGTTGGTGATTTTTCCATGGAGCCCTTGGGCTCCCAGGAAAGCAGAGAATTTCAAGAAATGCTGCCTAACTGGTCACTGGTCCAACCAAAGCAGCAGGTTAAACATAGAAGCAGGAAATACTGCATGATGACAAAAATCAAATTGAGGACAGGAAAAGAAAGAAAAGCAGGACAGAAGGAGGGAGCCACAAATCTATGCTGCGATTTTCCACGTGTTCCTCTACTAAAAGGGGGTTACATATTTAACTTGGAGCTTCTGACACCCAATAGAAAAAAAGCAAAACCTGGTGAGGTACTGGAAACTCTGTGTTTATATAATAAAAGCCAAATTGCTCAGGGAAATGATAACCATTTCAGGTGCTTTGATCAGACAAGAACTTCTCTGCAGGAATACTCATAACAGAGACCCCATATCCCATAATGAAACAACATCCGCACAAGGGGGTGAATGGCCAATTTCATGAGACTGTTTCTCATAATCATTCTCAATATAAATTGATAGCATCATGTAAACATACAATTCAGCAAAACTCATTGGGGTCCAGTGCAATGCAGTCTGGATACCCGCTCCCTATTGGTCTGACTTGACTCAAAGGTAAGTTTTAAGAACTATTCAGTGGAGAAAATATACCTAATATGTATTTTTAGGCAACCTTTCTTAGTTTTCTGTCTCCCACATTGATAAATACAGTAGCTATGAACTCAAGTCTATATAACCCAATAGCAGCTGACACTGCCATCTGGGTACAAACTCTTGGGCTCACATCCCTTCCCTTTTTTTGAGCCTTCATTTTCTGCTGTGCAAGGCAAGGGGCTGAACAAGATAATTGCAATGAACCTTCCACTTGTAACAGTGAAGAATTCCAGAGATTCAGAAAGAACCGGAACTCTCAGGAACCACAGAGATACAGACCCATGCAGTCAGCACAAGTACCAGCTAGGGTGCCATGCCACTGAGAGCCACCAAGAGGAGGAGAAATTAAAACCAAGCTTCCCCTAGACCAAGAACAGAAAACATTTAAACCCAGTAACATCTATCTGTCTTGGCGCAATTCCTAATGGCCATAACACCTGATACATACACAAAGGCCCCAAACATTGCTGCAGGTGTTTATGGCAGACTACTTAGGGGATATTTATGGTTCCAGAGAGTCCCTGATATGGTTTGGCTGTGTCCCCACTCAAATCTCATCTTGAATTGTAGCTCCCATAATTCCCACGTGTTGTGGGAGGGGCCTGGTGGGAGATAATTGAATCATAGGAGCGGGTTCTC